ATGAATAGTGGGATTGACCGTCACATTATAACGCCTCCACTGCTGAAAGAGCGAGCATGTTTGGTGGGACTGGGATTCGAACCCGCGATCCTTAGATTGCGAGTCGAGCGCCCTAACCACCTGGCCATGCCGGGCCTTTTTTGTCATGTAAGAATCATGTATTAATCTAATCTATTCTAAAAGAGTAATTAAAGTCACAGCCGAACGAATAACAGTTTGACACAGTTTTTTTTTCTTACTGAATATATATGTATATATTAAGATTGATAATAAAAACAAAAATGGATATAACTAGCGAGTTCTGAAGTGGATGTACTAAATATTTTTGCTGGTTTATTTTAAAGTTTTATTTAAGCAAGCTGAATTGCTGCAGAGCATAACTGTAAATTTAAGAGTAAGTTAAAGGCAGACTTAAGTTGAGAACAAAAGTCACACTTAGTGTTATTGTCAATCGGGGTATTCGGAGTATTTGTGACTTGAAAGAGGAGGGTTCACAGGAAATGAGGAGTCTCAACAAGTAAAATCACTTTTAGCAGCAGCTTGTTCCGATTTCCCTGCAGCTTTTGATGTGATGATTAATCAACGCGAGCAGGATTCCTTGTTTTCACCAACAAACTCCTATTAATGTCACGCTTTTGCTGACGTAAGGTTTCACTACTCTGTTGACGTCTTTTCAATTAGAAAGGAAGAAGGACTACTTTGGTTTTGCCTCACTAACACAAGAGTTGATTATATTTGCAAGAATATTGGAAATCATAGACGCTTTTCAAGCGAAATGGCTCTGTTTTAATCCAAATTAGTACTAAGATTCAGTAGAGTTGTTCACTCGTATACAGATATTCCAAAACTTCCAACGCTTTCAAGATTTTAACGAAGTATTGGTATTGTCTTAAAAGTTCGTAGCTGGGTGTAACCAAGTAGTTGCATTGTCCGGACTGTAATCTGGGAGTTAATGATTCGACGTACAAACGTGTTCGCACTTTGGGGCCATGGATGTACTATAAGAGTGATGGTCCAATTCGACTATTTGATAAGACAAGAGTAGCCTAAGATTTGGCGGTGAGTGCTGCTGAGTAGCTGTCTTCTCTCCTGTCTATCAGGTCAAAATAAATAACTGCTATACGAACATTGCCCTATTGGTAACCCTGCTCGAAATTTCGAGACAAACTGCAGTTCGTAGGTAACATGAAAAAAACTTTAGTCTTAAATATATCAAGAAAAACATTTTAGTCTTAAATATATTGAACTAAACTATTTTGCTGACTGTTAAATAATTACCCAAGTTTGCTTTAAATATATTCAGTTTCAATCTTCTTAGTGTATTTTTCATAAAGTTTCAATCTCCTTAGTGTATGTTTCATAAAGTTTCAATCTCCTTAGTATGTGTTTCATAAAGTTTCAATCATCTTAGTGTGTGTTTCATAAAGTTTCAATCTCCTTAGTGTATCTTTCATAAAGTTTCAATCTCCTTAGTGTGTGTTTCATAAAGTTTCAATCTCCTTAGTGTATCTTTTATAAAGTTTCAATCTACTTAGTGTGTGTTTCATAAAGTTTCAATCTCCTTAGTGTATCTTTCATAAAGTTTCAATCTCCTTAGTGTGTGTTTCATAAAGTTTCAATCTACTTAGTGTGTGTTTCATAAAGTTTCAATCTCCTTAGTGTATCTTTTATAAAGTTTCAATCTACTTAGTGTGTGTTTCATAAAGTTTCAATCTTCTTAGTGTATCTTTCATAAAGTTTCAATCTCCTTAGTGTGTGTTTCATAAAGTTTCAATCTTCTTAGTGTATCTTTCATGAAGTTTCAATCTTCTTAGTATGTGTTTCATAAAGTTTCAATCTCCTTATTGTGTGTCTCATAAAGTTTCAATCTTCTTAGTTTCTGTTTCATAAAGTTTCAATCTTCTCAGTGTGTGTTTCATAAAGTTTCCATCTCCTTAGTATGTGTTTTATAAAGTTTCAGTCTCCTTACTTTCTGTTTCATAAAGTTTCAAACCTTAGTTTATGTTTCATAAAATTTCAAACCTTTGTGTATGTTTCATAAAGTTTCAATCTTCTTTTTGTGTGTTCCCTAAAGCTTCAATTTCCTTAGCGTATGTTTCATAAACTCTGAAAAGAGTCAAGAACGGAGCTTCGAAGGGAGAATTAATACTAATGTAAATTTCAATAATAAACAAATTGCTCCCCGGTTGCTCAACGGTAATATTGAGGGCTTATAATGGTAAACTTCGAGGTTCAATCCCTGCGTTAAACACAACGTGGGTAGATCATTGTGAAGCTTTGAGTTTAAAAATAAGTGAAGAGACAGACTACTGCAGCTATAATTGTCTATATTCTAGCATTGGTTCGGTGGCTTATTCACAGTATTTACTGTCAATTCTCATTTTTAGACTTACAAACTTACCCTGACTTAGAAATTATTTATGTGGTCAGTCACCAATTTCAGCTTCACCAGTTTAGGCTCTTACGTTTGAATATCTTACCAAATAGGTGTCGTTTCCTCCAGTGACACTGATTCCAAGTTCATTGTTCTTGTCCTTCTTGAGGACGATAGTTGTCTCCACAAAGTCCTCGATGGTAGTTACAGCTAGAAAATGAAAATATCATTTTTGATGGAAAAATGAAAAAGAAAAGTAATTATAAGCTTTCAAAAATCTATTGAAATTCTGAACAGTATGGTATTGATATTTTGGCATATAATAAACAGTTTCGATCAGGTATTGTGAGAAGTTAAGAAGTCTCTATGATGTTATTTTAGCCAATAATAATAGCTCGTGAATCGTAACTAGCATTACTTACATTTTCGTTCTCAAAGAATCTATTGGACACGAAGTAAAGAATGCACACTGTTTGTAGATGGAGAAAACAACTGTCTTGGAATTATAATTTGGTTCTTTAGGAAAACATAGTTTGGTTTTAATGTTTTTAAAGTAAGAGAAATGTACAAACACATTAATCGGGCTGCACACAATGTATATATATATCTATTAGCTTCCCACTTTTCGCGAGTGATAAGAAAACTGATAGAATGTTACTGACACAATACCTTAAGAAACAGCGGGCTGAGTACGATATATTAAAATGATTTTGAATTCACTGTGGAACAGAATGTATCATAACTACATTTTGACATTATTTGATGTTACTTGATGCCACCCAAAATTGATCGCTTTTGGGAAGAGTATGTGGCATCCCCTTCTCACGTAAAATATTCATACTCTCAGATAATAAAGGCGCGTCAGATCTTGGATTTAGAATTTCCGAGACAGGGATATCCCTTGTATTTAATTGTCTTTGAAAACAAAATAATATAGATCAACTTGAGGCACCAAGACCATCCACAAGAACTTACAAAAGACGTATCCAAGCTGTGATATGTAAAGTTTGTAAAAGGAGAGAATCCATTACCACAAATGTCAGTGGCAAAAGCTTTTCACGCCAGGCAACAGTACGCAATATAATTAAGAAGAAATTCCGCCTTGAAAAGCGACACAACTCGCGGGTACATATGTTTCTTCCACGATGCATCCATTCAACTGTAGTATACCTCAAGGAGCTGGAAACTAAAATGGGTATTCGTACTATTCCATACTGGTCAAGTCGCCGGATGCAGTATCTATAAATGCGATCATAATATTGAAACGCGCGCCGGGAAATCAGTGTCCTCGTACATTAAATGGATTATGGAAAGTCTACAGGGAGGAAGTGCGTGCTTTAAACATACCAGCTTTAGGATGGGTCCATTTGTAATAGAAATAGTGCTGCAGAGCTATTGACAAGATGCACGGTCGTTAGATAGAGCATGACCTGACATGGGTTGTAACGAAGTGATGAAGCTACAAAATGATTTTAGTTTGTTATACTTAACCTCTATATTGTTATTTTAGTATATTATACTTAACCTCTATACTGTTATTTTAGCATAATACACTTAACTTTTATACTGTTATTTTAGCATAATACACTTAACTTTTATATTGTTATTTTAGTATAATATATTTAACCTCTATATCGTTATTTTAGTATATTATACTTAACCTCTATATTGTTATTTTAGTATATTATACTTAACCTCTATATTGTGTTGGAGGATTTGGAGACAACATTCCAATATGAAATCACATAGATTTAATTTAAACGCAGCGTAACACATGTAACCAATCCTCAACCAATTTGCTATTTCGTGAGTTATTTTACAGAAGAAATAAGGCAAGTTTACACGCTCAAGTCATGCGTGAAGTTAAAATTTCATGCTTTTGTGTTTCCATAACAATTTCCCTATCTTTACTGGTTTATGTTAATTTGTAAGGCAATAATTTGCACAAATATATTTGAAAACGTGTTTGTAATTCATAAAAAGCTGGCTCTCCGAAGAGAATCATTGAAATATGTAAAATATAGAGAGTTAATAAGAAAGTTTGGTTCTGAATAAATTCTACGAAGATTATTTAAAGATATCAATAAAAAAATCAAAAACGTTAGAGATTGAAAATTAGCATATTTTGAAGCGAAGAGTAAATTAGAACTGGATTCCTAAATACTTGTTTAGATGTATAGGTATGGAACAAACAAACTCATTCCTCACTGGATTCCTAAATACTTGTCTAGTTGTATAGGTATGGAACAAACAAACTCATTCCTCACTGGATTCCTAAATACTTGTTTAGATGTATAGGTATGGAACAAACAAACTCATTCCCCAGTTTATGAGGCACGTGGAATTTCTGCTTGATAAAATATTAACGAAGGTATAATGAAATGTAAATTAGCCTTTCCAACAACAAGATAGTATGAAATTTGAGGACTATGTGATTACGAAGAGAGATCTAATTTTACATTTTGTTGCCTTTGATCTTTTATTCCTCTGAGGTAATACACAAAACATGTTGTATTCGAGTTTCTATAAAGCAACAGTACACAATATAATTAAGAACTTCCGCCTCGAAAAACGACACAACTTGTTAGAACGATCACTTCAAAGTCGATGACGATCCCTCCCGAACATGTGACCACGTAAGTCTGGCAGTTTACTAAGAGAAAATTGCTACAAACTTAATTATGAATCTTAAAAACTAAATTTAAAAAAAAAACAACGATTATTTTATACACAATTCTATAAAAATGATATTGTTTCCAGTCTCCACATTACTAAAATAATAGCTTACTGTACAAAGTTAAAAAGTGATAAAAAACCCTGATTAAACCTGAAAACAATCTCATACACTTTACATATTTCGACATATACTATTGCGTCATCCTCAGGAGTGTAGTGTTTTGCAAAAAATAACACTTATTTATATAAGCTTATTTATTTATTTATTTAAGCACAGTTCAAACTATGATGTTTAAACCTGTAGTATCTTTCTAGTTTTATTATGATGTTTAAACCTGTAGTATCTTTCTAGTTTTATTATGATGTTTAAACCTGTAGTATGTTTCTAGTTTTATTACGATGTTTAAACCTGTAGTATGTTTCTAGTTTTATTACGATGTTTAAACCTGTAGTATGTTTCTAGTTTTATTACGATGATTAAACCTGTAGTATGTTTCTAGTTTTATTACGATGTTTAAACCTGTAGTATCTTTCTAGTTTTATTACGATGTTTAAACCTGTAGTATCTTTCTAGTTTTATTACGATGTTTAAACCTGTAGTATCTTTCTAGTTTTATTGTTTGTTTGTTTGTTTTGGAATTTCGCGCAAAGCTACACGAGGGCTATCTGCGCTAGCCGTCCCTAATTTAGCAGTGTAAGACTAGAGGGAAGGCAGCTAGTCATCACCACCCACCGCCAACTCTTGGGCTACTCTTTTACCAACTCTAGTTTTATTACTTCGAATTTCAAAAACATAAGCGAAGAGTTGCAGCATCATTCCTTAATTAGATTTCTATGATGTTAATAGTGTAATAAACAAGAATATATTTGAAAAAGAATAAAAATATGATATTTAATACATTTATATGTTACTTGAGGGATGATATTGAGGTTTGTTTCTTCCCATACATGGAAATGTAGACCAGAAATTTCGAAATATAATGAATCAGAATAAATATTATATGATGTGACAAAAAGTACGAAAATAATTGAAAAATCACGGTCACTAATATATTAAGTACTATTTCCATTTATCACGTAGGCTTACCTTTATAGCTGTATTTAAGGTTTGTGATTATTCTTTTCTGTTTTTCTAGGTAAGTGATACATTTTAGTGACTGTTGCCAAAACATTTGAAATGATCTTTAAAATATTTTTCTGTTTTATTACCTTTTCTTTACCACCGAATATTTAAAGTTTTATCTAAAAAGTTTTTCGCGTACTGCAGCGGCTCCTAGCTGGCGATCCGCATACCACATCAGACCCTCGAAAGCCTGATTCGTGGACCGCATTACGACGAAACATTGCATACTAAACAAAACTGTATTTGAGGAATAATGTATTCTTCAAGAAACACATTCTCGGCCTGGCTCACCTGAAGTGGCCCAGTATGGAGACCACTGGTGTATCGTGTTTCTCATGAACAGAAATTGTCAAAACTGACACTTGATAACCCCTTCAACTAAACTGGTTCTGGCATTTGCCAGTTTTATTATATTGAAACTATAAAGTTTAGAAAGGGTGGAAATAGGGAATTCTTACTAAACTAACACGTTTTTATTACAGTTAAAATAAACTTGTCTAACTTAAGTAAGACTAACAATCAAAAGAAAACTTATTGGATTCTAGTTTTGTATGTGGTTGTTGTTGTTTGTTATTAAGCACAAAGTTACACAAAGGGCTATCTGTGCACTGCCCACCACGGGTATCGAAACCCGGTTTCTAGCGGTATAAGTCCGCAGACATACTGCTGTGCCACTGGGGGGCTTTGTATGTGGAAATTTACGTACTTTTACAAAATATGAGCAGCTTTGTTTTCTACTTATACAGTTCACACTTCAATATAAGTTGAAATACGTGGTCTTTTGTTCCAGAGAGAGATCAGGAAACTAATTAATACTTTGACTGACTCTTACTATGTATCACTTTTTTTTCAAGCCAACACCATTGGTCACTGGTGGTTTCTTGCAAGTCTCTCCTGACTTCGAAGTTTCTAATCTCATCTTACAAGGAAAAACCTAACGAGTCTGTTCTATCCATCAGTGCACATTTAAGGAAGAAAATTGTGATTCCAAAAAACACGAGTTTTGTTGTTGACAAGGTTGGTATTTACACCCTTATCGGCGTAATTTTACAACAAATGAAAGTTTAGACTCCTGCTACTCACGTAAAAGTGTGAATTTGTAAACGAATGAAAAGTCGTAAAAGGTATGTAGAAATAAGAACAAACTGTTAAAAAAATAATTTACATTATTATAACTTAATGATAACTAAAGTCTTATGAACTTATTGTTACGTCTCTGTTCGTTTGTTAATTTCCTGTATAAATTCTTTCCAAGAAACTTCAGCGAGGAACAAGTCCTTTCTTAATTAAAACTAGTTTATTCTTTCGCGATACATCTTTGTAATACACAGAATTTCCACAGTCACTTTAACT